TGTCACTGGGGAGGAGAGTTCTTGTAGAACCTGGTCATATTGAATCTGTTCACTGAAATAAATGACAGTAATTACCTTTTACTGTTAGAAGATTTTGATGTTCTTCTAGTAATAAATTTGGCCTTTCCTTATTAACTGGTTTATACGTTGTTTTATAAATATAATAATTTTTTTTTTTGAATTTTCTTTTTATCCATCATGCAAGAAGTTTCGTGTAATTATCAAGTGTTTAAGCTATGGGAGGAAGTAAGTTGTATGAACGGGAGCTTGCATGGTTGAATAAGCTTACACTGATGTTGATTCAAGCAGTAGAACATGGGGTGTCCAAATGACATCTTTGCAGATCATATTTTTCAAATGAATTTTGCTTCAGCTCATAAAAAATAATGACAGTGATCTGTTCTACTGTCTTGATTTCCTTTTGAAATTCTGAAATGGATAATTCTCCTGTGGAGTGAAATGAGGAGATTTTCATGACTGCTGCTATAACATGTTATCATCATTGGCTGAAATTATCTGCATGATGACAATTCGCAGGCATTCCCATCTGGTCCAGCGTATTTTACCAGAAATCCACAATTACTTTGCGAAAGCTCTCACTAAACCTAACCAACATATGCGGCTATAGATGGCCAGTCATTGATTCTTCAACTCTAACTAGATACGGTGTACAGAAAGTAGTAGATCTTCTCACTGTTATCGAGCCAATTACAGATTCTAATTGGGTGGCTCATAACCATTCCTGATGCCAGAGGTATGTTGTTTGTAGACTCACTGTAAGTTTCTTTCTGCGGGCTCATAATCATTCCTGTCCCTGATGCCAGAGAGTTATGTTGTTTGTAGACTCACTGTAACTTTCTTCTTCAAGCCCTTTGTCTTGGGTTGGGGTATTGCGCCTTCACAAAACATTATTGCTTTTCATGGATTGTGATGGTTGTAAACTCAGAAATGTATTTTAAGAACTCTTCAGTGAGAGATGTATCTTTTGCATGTGCAATAAGTAGGCTTCTTGTCTGCTGGATTCGATTCTTATCAAAACATATCTCCATTTGTGTTAAGTGTCAACTGTAATGTTCAAATAAAACAAAATTCCATGATAGAACAAGTATTATTTGGATGAAGCTTTTAGTGGGTTGAGGGGATTTTGTTGGGTTAACACAACAAATATTCGTGGTAAACCTCTCCAATTGACGAGTTGCCAGGGATGTGATTCTCCACCTTCTATGCGTTAACGGGCATACATGAGGACCATAAATGGACAAGTGAATATTTTAATGTATAACTAACTGTCAAAGACTCAAACCCCAAAGCTTATCTCAGTAATAATAGAATATACAAATTTGATAGTCTTCCCCTCCCAACCATCCCTTTCCGCTCAGCACCTAATTTTCAGAAAAGAATGTTGACATTAGGGCAACGGTCAACTTATTTTGGCCGGTATGACTGTGAGTAGGCTTTGCACACTATAAAACGCAATGACACATGGGTGTGTCATAGTTCACCAACATCAAGCCAGTCAAAAGATATTTTCTAGCTTTCTTCCTTCACACTTGACACATTTCTCCAATCTCTCAATATGGGTTCCATGGACAAGGAAGTAGTGTCAGAACTTCCCCCGTTTTTCCGTATTTACAAAGATGGATCGGTTGAACGAACAAGAGGCTCTCCGATTGTGCCACCATCGCCTGAAGACCCAGAAACTGGAGTCTCATCCAAAGACATAACTGTTTCTGAAAAACCTAAAATCTCAGCTAGAGTCTATCTTCCCAAACTCACCCAAGTCACCACCCAAAAACTCCCAGTCTTGGTGTATTACCATGGTGGAGCCTTCTGCATCGAATCTGCCTTCTCTTTAGTTGAAACTAAACTAATGAACACGTTGGTTGCTGAAGCCAAAATCGTTGCAATATCAATAGAGTACCAGCTAGCTCCTGAAAATCCTATCCTTGGGATTTATGAAGATTGCTGGACGGCTCTCCAATGGGTTTGTTCCCATTCTCCTGCTGAAGGTGGCAATAAGGAGCCATGGTTATCAACTTATGGAAACTTTGAAAAAGTTTTCATCGGTGGTGATAGTTCAGGAGGCAACATTGCGCATAATATACTCATGCGAGCGGGCAAAGAAAGCCTGCCTGGTGGTGTAAAAATTTATGGAGGTCTTCTTACACACCCATATTTTTGGGGTTCCAAGCCAGTTGGGAGAGAGGTTACCGAAAACAGAGAGAAGATTGTGTCTGATCAAGTTTGGAGGTTTTTATATCCAACTGCACCTGGTGGTATTGATAATCCGATGATGAATTTCAATACCCCCGATGCGCCAAGCTTGGCTCAACTTGGGTGTTGTCGGTTGCTGGTGAGTGCTGCTGAACTGGATGAGCTGTGGAGTAGATGTGTTTTATACTATAACACAGTGAAGGAAAGTGGGTGGAAAGGAGAGGTAGAGTTTGTTGATGTGGAGGGCGAGGAACATGCCTTCCATATCTTGAATTATGAGTCTGAAAATGCGAAGAAAATGATCAAACGCTTGGCTTCTTTTCTTATCAAGTAGACTCAATCATCTTTTCCTTGACTTTCTACAAATAAACAGGTTAAGGATTTAGGGATTTACAGTCCCACCTTGAGTTTCCCTTCTACTTTTCAAAATTTTACAGCTTGTGATTGTAATTTAGCTAAGCGTTTCATGTTTAATAGTATCCAGATTCTTGTTCTTAAAGTCTCTACTTTGTGGAGAACTAGATGCTTTGTATGATAATAAGATTGCATTGCCTTTTTTTCCCAAAACGTTTTGAGGGATTCTTATCAGAACTCTCTGTCGTTGATTTTAATCCCTGGAAATTTGGCACAATTGTGAGTACATCATTGCCATATGTCTGGTCCAGATTTGCTTAGTACAAAGATAATTTTTAACCTGAAAGGGATGTGGGTTAAGTAGATATTTTTTTGAATATCCAGACAACGACCATTCATCCATCATTTAGGCTTTGTGCGTTGGTGAATCCTTATAGGGTAGCCTTTATTTTTAATAAAAAATGGCAATAATTTTACCCCAAAGGGCGCCTCTACGAATAAAGTGGAAAAGAAAAGTGGGAACGTGGCACATGATTCTCTGTATATAGTCAAAATAAAGTAGAAAGAAAATTCATGAACATGACAGCTATTGTTGAACAAACTTTGTTTTTCTTTTGTTTACTTTGCGATACTTATGAAGGTAATGTTATAGTATTGTTGGAGTAAGTTCTATAACATTTGACATAGCCCTTGCATTGCATCTAGTATTTAAAGGGTTTATAATTATGAGTAAACAACTTTTTCCCACCCAAATAATTTGCCTGTTAATATTTTTCCATCCAAAAAGTTTTAAAATATAATTTTATTATCCAAACGTTATGATATATTAATAATTTCTATTAAATATAATGATATTCATTGTGAAGATGAAAATACCATTCTCTTCTTATTCTCGTCTTTTCTTAATCTCTTCCATTGTTGACAATTGTCGGTATTCTGTCGAATGGCTAGTGTGCACGTTGGGAATGGTGGAAGGTGAGACTGCCGATGACCAGAAAATCAACAAACAAACCACAAACACTTCAAATAAACCTTTTTCAACTGTTTTTCAACCCAACAAGCACAAAAAAGGAAACGTATCAAACCCAATTCATCAATCAAAACTAAAAAAAACCTTAAGGTTCAATCGCTGACGATTGGTGAGCAAATGAGATTGGGAATGTTGAGGCTTTTGGAGAGGAACAGCTAGTGAGTCGATTGGTGGTGATAGGGACAATTTCTGGTGACGGGATTGACCAGAAAAGCAAATGACATGCAAAACCTAATCGAGTTGCCAGTTGACGAACGACGGACAGATAGGGGTGGGACGGTAGTGAGTTTTGGCAAGGGAAGTGAAGGGAGTGTTTTGGTGGTGGTGGGAGAGATTGGCGACACTAGAAAAAGGCCGATTTGGCCTTAGTCGGCGGTTGAGCAAGGATGGGTTTTTCCGGGAAGAAAAACGCAAATCTGTCTAGATTAAGGATAATTAGGTTGGGGAAAAGGCACAATCGATGAATGGGAGAAGATTTTTGTCAAGTTTTGTGAGAAAACCAATTGAAATCAGGTTGAACCAACGTCGATTTCCCGTGAACCACGCCACAGCGCGATTGTCATTTTTAGGCCATTTCGGCTTGAATCCGGTGCCGTTCCATTCGCCAACCACCACGCATGGTTGGTTTGAATGATTCTTTCCTTTTCTGGCGTCGAAAATCCCTTTTGAGACCACCAATCAACTCCGACCTCCCATTTCCAAAATCCCCTGACCTTCCCGATGTGAATTACACGCTGTTCGCCGCTCTCCACGATCTAGGGTTTTGTTGTTTTTTCATCAATTCTGACTACCAAAATCCAATCTTTCACCACCTTTTCAACCTCTGATCGCTCCTCTTCAAAATCCCTCAAACCCCGACACTTGGTTACTCATTGTTCGTCAGTCAAGAATCGCCACCCTCCTTTTGTTGTTCTCTGTTTTCTCAGCAAAGTGGAATTTTAAAATGATCATTCTATCCTTACTTATAATGGACTTTTGATTATCTTGTCTTCTTCACAACAAAATTTACTAATGAAATTGTACTTTGGACAGTAAAATTGTATTTTGAACTTCTTAGGTGAGAAAGTATCATTAGACCCTTGTTTGGGTGAGAAAAAGTGGTTTACTCTTATAATTATTTATTATAAATTAAAAAAAAAGAAAGTTAAAGTCGTTTACTCTTATAATTATTTATTATAAAAAATTTAAAAAGAAGTTTTTGAGGCCCGAGGCCCGAGGGTTTGCCGGTTTGAATGATAAATTGTGTTGTTGAAATTGGGATGAGCTGTTGGCCGTTGTTGTTGGCCAGAGATGAAATTAAGTTGCTTTTATTGTTTTGAAAGTGTGTAACTCGCTTTGCTCTTTATAATATTACGATGATAATATTAAATTACAATCAAAACTTCCACAAAAATACAGTCTCCATCTTCTCAAAATGGCATATAAGAGTACCGCAATTCTAGAAACACATCGTGTTTCGGGATCATCTTAGTTTTTTCGGTAACAAAGTCTAAAAGAATGGCGAGATCTTGGCACATGAAACATGAATGATTCTAATTTTTTTTTTTTATTATTATTATAATAGTTAACTGATAGTTTATTATTGTAAAATTTTTCCTTGATTTAAACTTAGATTCACTTTGCTATATTTTTCAAAAATATTAACTGTTACTAATAAAACCAAGTTATTTCTAATCTGGGTAAAAAGAAAAATGGGATCTTGGGGCTTTTCTCACGGAATTAAAATTTGAAATCAGTGTAGTGAAGTGTAATTATAATTAAGGCCACCCAGATTCCACAAAAGCAGTCAATAATGAACTTAACACATCTCTTAACAACTGAAGATTACAAGTAGATAAATTAAGTAGACAATTCAAGATGATTGATACACACTGCTCCATGCTTTTCACAATAATGGTCTATATATATATATATATATATATATATGCACTGAATGCTACGCATGACTTCCAAGTTTTTGACTTGTATATAATGATATTGTTGTGGTGCTACACAACTTAATTGGTGTAGCCGCCCTCTCTTCTCTACGCGTATCCCTCTTTCAATTACCACCTAATTTTGAAAGCAGAAATTTTGATTAATATTGTAATTATGGTACACAGAAATTGCAGTTTGGGCTGCGCAGATTCATTCAACAACAGTCCATCTTATATAATTCTTAGTTCATTCTGAAGAATTAATTTCTTGGTCTTCTTCATACAATCACAATGGGTTCTGTTGCCAAGGAAATTGCTTCAGAGTTGCTTCCTTTTCTCCGGGTTTACAAAGATGGTTCGGTTCACCGGTTAAATGGCTCCACCAATGTCCCACCATCGCTTCAGGACCCAGAAACTGGAGTCTCATCCAAAGACATTACCATTTCTGAAAATCCCCACATCTCAGCTAGAGTTTACGTTCCAAAACTTACCCAATTACCCAACCAAAAACTCCCCGTTTTGGTCTATACTCATGGTGGAGGCTTCTGCTTCGAATCTGCCTTCTCTTTGGTTGAAACTAAGTTAATGAACAGCTTAGTTTCTGAAGCCAAAGTTGTTGCAATATCAGTAGAGTACAGGTTAGCTCCTGAAATTCCTATCCCTCTTCTTTATGAAGATTGCTGGACTGCCCTGAAATGGATTGCATCACATTCAGCTGATAACAGTGGCGACAATAAGGAGCCGTGGTTGACGACTTATGGCGACTTTGAACGAGTTTTTATAGGCGGAGATAATGCAGGAGCCAACATTACGCATAATATACTGATGCGAGCTGGGAAAGAGAGCTTGCCTGGTGGTGTAAAGATTGTTGGAGCTTTTCTGACTCACCCATACTTTTGGGGTTCCAAGCCCATTGGGTCAGAGATCGGAGGCCCGGAACGTGAGAAGCTTGTGCCTTATGTAGTTTGGAATTTTTTATATCCAACAGCGCCCGGCGGTATCGATAATCCGATGATAAATTTTGTTGCCCCAGAAGCGCCAAGCTTGGCTCAACTAGGTTGTTCTCGGTTGCTGGTGAGTGTTGCCCAATTGGATGTGCTGAGGGACAGAGGTGTTTTATACTATAATGCAGTGAAGGAAAGTGGCTGGAAAGGAGAGGTGGAGCTTGTTGAAGTGGAGGGAGAAGACCATGCCTTTCATATTTTGAATTATGAGACTGAAAATGCTAAGAAAATCATCAAACGTTTGGCTTTATTTCTTCTCAAGTAGATTAATATATCATCCATCCTTTAAAAATTTATTCCAGTTTGAGGTATATCTATGGTTTTTCTTTGCTTTTATATAAATTTTCTTTGTATTGGAGTAAATTGTGATTTTACATAAACCTATAATATAATTATAAGCAAACGACATTTTCCCACCCCAAGTTGAGCGAAAAAACAAGTTGCCACCCTTGGTTTCATAAATTCCAGATTGCCCCCTTCATACCGTTAGTTTTTGTTACTCTTGACACAACTGTGAAGCACGCTATTACCATATTACCCTTATAAAACCAGGGCTGGGAACTTGGCATGTAGCTAAACCTTGGGTGACATGTCGTTTACTCTATAATTATAAATGACATAACAGTATATTGGGTCTCATTAATTTTCTTCCTTTTTCATATTTTGCAATGTTCTATAATGAAATTTTATATAATTCTTTAATAAATTTAATGTTTTATTACCTTTTTTATCCATTAAATTAATAAGAGATAGTAAACTATAATTAAAGAAACCCCTGGGGGGAATAGCCATGAACCCCTTACCGTTACCTAAATGTTACGCATTCAGGGGTGCATTAAACAAACGAAGGACAAAAGAGTAATTGTGATAAAAACTAGTATAAATAAAAAAATCCATTCAATCTAAGAAAAAACAATATACAGTAAAACCTCTCTATAGCGATACTCTATATAGGAATAAACTCTATATAGTCATAAAAATTTTAGTCCCAATTTAGGATAGTTATAAATAAAAATAAACTCTACATTGTAATAAGTTATAATTTTTCTAATACCCGTCTTAAGGAAATTTACCTCCACATAGTAATAATTATCTGTATATTACAAAAAAATATATGCTACGTTACATTAAAAGTTTAAAATGAAATAAAATATTTATCTAAAGTTGTTTGGGATAATGATTTATGCTTTAAAATTGTTACGACACGTTTTAACATGCGGGTATGTAATAATTCATTAGTATGGACATCTTCTTGTTGAAACCAAAATATTTTTAGCTTTTCAAGCATGTTTAGAGCTTCATGACACGAAACTTTTTGTATTTCTATACTATAATCCTCATGATTATTTTCTTTCTCTTCTTGTTTAATTGCAGCAATGATTTCTTCTTCAGTTAAAGCATATACGACTTGTTGCTCATTTGGATGATCGAAGAAGACATTAATATGCATTCGATTAGTATAATGAAGTTGTCAAATCTGATCACTCAATTTTGCAATGAGTCTTTTATTCTCCACATCCACTTTATTTGTAATTTGCAATTCATCGATACCGAGAGTCCTAATTTTGTAGTGTTTAAAACAATTGATAATTGTCTGTGGCTTCACATCAATTGACAATGTAGCAACTGCATTTACAATTTTATTAAGGATACTTTTCTTTTCCGGTTCTAATACATGATCTTCTATCCGTTTAAAAAATAGGCGATTAAAACGTTGATTATAATAACCATTGAAATTTCTAATGATGCCTACATCACACAGCTGGATTTTGGAAGTGCTAACTGGTGGTAGGAACATAACAGTTGTGTGATACTAATACTAATACCAATACTACTACAACAATTAATTGAAATTATAATACACACGATTAAAACATGAATTAAAAAAGAAATCAAAATATTAATTTTTGTTATTATATTTCTATTAAGTTATAACCTCCTTATAATAATAAATTAGTTTGATCTCACCATTATGAATATAGAGAGATTTTGCTGTATCTTTTCCATTTTAATTTTTTAAATAAAAAAAAAGATTTGCTTGGTTTCATGAACAACCTCCGCACAGCAGCCCCCAACCTGTTTGCCTTCCCTGACGCCCCACTATGCCAACGACCAACCTCACGATAGCCGCTAACCCCACGCTCACGCTAACAAAGCAAATACCGCACACTTAAAATCACACACTAACAAACGACAATAAACAATGTGATAGTAGCCCATTGTCCCTTCAACTGAGAACAAGCTATTAGCCTATTACATGGAAACAACGGAGAAGAAGATGAACCATATTAGCACATGGAAGAGGGAAGGCACATGGAAGAGGGAAGGTTGAATAACTACCAGCTAACTTGGAAGCAAATGGTTGTTGCTGAACATAAAAGGATTTGTATAATCCTTAGAGTGCGCTTGGTTCAAAGAATGTTATATTAATGGAAAGATAAATTATCTTGAAGATTATTGTGAACGTTTAGGAAAATGTGACAAAATGAGAGGATTTCGACAACAAGAAAGGGTTAAGATGGTGTTGGTAGCTTTAGATTTAGGGTTTTTTAAGTTTCAGAATGAATTGCAATTTTTAATTTCAAATTCAGTTCAAAATCGAGTACCCACTTAAATCGAATCGGATTTTTAGTTCGGTTCAAAACCGGTCAACCACCAAACCGGTTTGGGTACCGATTTTGACCACCCTACTTATATTAAAACCTTGGCTTCTATTTCTATATAAGTAATTAACCATTACCATTATTATTATTATTTTTTTTGTTAATATATAATATACCATATTTTATGTGTTAAATTTGAGTTTTATAAATTTCCAAACTTATAATTCATTTTACTTTTAAATAAGAAAATTGGCACTTCGTTTATTATATAGTAATTAAAATTTTGAAATTAAAACAAAAAAAAAAAGTCGCAAAGAATACATGACAGCTTCACATACAATAAAGAAAAGCTCTGGTTGGAGGTAGCCTCGGCTACAAGATCTCATCTCCAGCCTCATTGCATTCACGTGAGACCAGATTCAGACCTTCTCAACACCGTGTGAAGGTAGATCCAACTTCCGAACAACCGCACAAAGCCAAATCATGGGAGGTTGAATCTCATTCCTTTCTTTTTGTAGTCTTCTCAAGTTTTGGTTGTCATAGATTATTTGTTCCCACTCATCCAAAAAATAGTTATGTGAACAAAAATATAAAAAATAAAAAGATGGAACGATTATTTAATCACAGGAGAAGCAGTCCACTAAGTGTTGACGGTGATAGGCATTGCCGAAAAAGCCATAGAAATTAGGTGTCTTTTTTAACCTATTCAATTATTCTACGTCAACCCAAAAATCAGTTGACATTTGTGGAGCCCAAACTTCCTATAAAAATTTTAGAAGACGAAGACATAACTCACATATTTCTCTTCTCACAATCCTTCACATAACACGTTATTTTCCATCTCCTTAGAATTTTACTTATGGGTTCTGCGGCGAAGGAGGTTGCTTCAGAGTTGCTCCCTTTTCTCAGGGTTTACAAAGATGGCTCGGTTGAGCGGCTGTGTGGCTCTCCTGCCGTTCCGTCATCGCCTGAAGACCAAGAAACTGGAGTCTCATCCAAAGACATCACCGTTTCTGAGAACCCCCATATCTCAGCTAGAGTTTACCTTCCAAAATTAAGCCAACCTGACCAAAAACTCCCAGTTTTGGTCTACACTCATGGCGGTGGCTTCTGCTTTGAATCCGCCTTCTCTTTAATGGAAACTAAATTCATGAACAGCTTGGTTTCTGAAGCGAAAATTGTTGCGATTTCAGTAGAGTACAGACTAGCTCCTGAAGTTTCTATTCCTGTTGTTTATGAAGATTGCTGGATTGCGCTGCAATGGGTTGCGTCACACTCGGCTGATGATAATGGCGGCAACAAAGAGCCGTGGCTAGGAACTTATGGAGATTTTGAACGAGTTTTTATAGGCGGAGATAGTGCAGGAGCCAACATTACGCATAATATACTCATCCGTGCTGGCGAGGAAAGCCTGCCTGGCGGTGTAAAGATTGAAGGAGCTTTTCTTACTCACCCATACTTTTGGGGTTCGAAGCCAATTGGGTCGGAGATTGGAGGTCCAGAACGTGAGAAGCTTGCGCCTTTTGCAGTTTGGAACTATTTATATCCAACTGCAACTGGTGGCATTGATAATCCGATGATAAATATTGTTGCCCAAGGAGCGCCAAGCTTAGCTCAACTCGGGTGTTCCCGGTTGCTGGTGAGTGTTGCTGAACTCGATGTGCTGAGGGATAGAGGTGTTCTATACTATAACGCAGTGACGGAAAGTGGGTGGAAAGGAGAGGTAGAGCTTGTTGAAGTGGAGGGTGAGGACCATGCCTTTCATATCTTGAAATACGAGACTCAAAATGCAATGAAATTGATCAAACGCTTGGCTTCGTTTCTTCTCAAGTTCTAGAATATATCATGTCGATCCCAAAAATAAAACAAAATAAGAGAGGTTTGGGATTCATGAAATACCACCTTCATCTTTCTTTTCATTCATAATATTTTACTGCTGGTGAATTGTGATAAGCAGAAGTATTCATAAGTCTTCTGATATGTATTACGGGTGTAATAGACTTCCTTTGACGGTTGCTTAAATTCTCGCTGTTACGGTATTAATATTATCAATTACATAATACATTCCACTCCTAAGTCCTATCTTTTCTATTTCTTTCCTTCTTTGAAGTTTCAAAAATGTCTTCCATAACTTCCATATATATATATATGATTAGGTTGATAAAAATATAGACAAAAAAATTTGGACTTTTTCTAATCTTTTTCAGTAGTCACGTTAGCACTTAGCAGTAGCTAAATTTCCAGGAAATTCATTTATAAGCTTTCCGGAAAAGTAGGCATGACACTAAACAAATATTTATATATTATCCTTTAGAAAACTAATCTGGTCACAGATGGCGACTACAACTGTTCCCAATTTTGACTATAATATTATTATATGCGATGAGAGAGTTTATTCATTTTATTTACTCTAGTTCATCCGGAGACATGAAATCAAAAAAACTATTTAATGACCTAATGACACTTTCCCACCCAAGCTTTGAAATAATACAACTTTATTACCTAAAGCACAACTCCATTAATAAATTTCGTTATGAAGAAAGTTATGATGGTAAAAAATTCATTATAAGTAAGAGCAAGATTATAACGCCCCACTTGAGGTACGTAGTTTAATTGCATTGTATTACTTGAATGTTTATTGATTTGTTCTCATTTGGGTTGGTTTGTTGTTATTATGGTTTGGTTGGCCCTTAGTTGAATGGAAGTATTGGTTTGGTTGAGTGGTTGCCCTGAAATCGTAAAGACTTGGTAAAATTTTGGTGTTACGGGCTTTGCCGGGGCGAAGAAAAAGCTTCGCTGCGGCGATGAGGTGCTGCAACCCATGGGTAGGTTCTGTAAGTTTTCGCCGGGGTGAAGAAGAAGCTTCGCCGCAGCGAAGGGCCTGACAAAATGTTTATTAACTTTCTAGAGAATTCTTCCTTTGGGGCACAATGACCATTCTACCCCTAATTAGCAGCAAAAAGTGGGGAGTGAAATGCAAGAAAATTTCATGGAGAATGTGTTAGTATTAGGAGTGTGAGTGTAATGAATCAAAGGACAAGAATGGAATTTCTAAGAAAGGGTAAGGGCAAAATGGGAAAGGAGGTGTATAATATGAGTTAATAAGGGTTAAGTCTTAGAAACCCTTTCATTCTTCTTCTTCCACTGCTATACTCATTTACCATTTTCTCTCTACTTTCCATCCAATCCTTCAAGGATTTTAAAGGGCTTTTGAGTAGTTTTTTGGGTAGAGAGGTGATTTAAGGCATCTTAAGGTAAGGACCTTTATTCTAGATGTGAAATTTAGCTATAAAGGTGTTAAAGTCTTATTGTGTTATTGTTTAAAAGTGTAGAGAAAAGACATCTCCCAAAGGAAAAGAGAAGTGCTATTGGAATCACACCATCACAAGGTAAGTAATCCAATTCAAGCTAAATTTTGAGAAATCCTTGAGTAGAGATTTCTTTATGCATGTACATATGATGCTTATAGAGAAATTGAGTAGAGATATATGTCTACTTGTTGAGAAATTGAATTGAGATGAGTATTTATGTTGAGTTTGTTGGATACATTTCCTTTATGAGAAGTGTGATGTGTGATGAGTTTTAGATGAAGTTGGAGGAGATTGAGTAAACATTTTGGGAGTGTTCTTCTATGATAGGAATTATGTCCATAGAAGGGAGCTTCTTCCTATTTTGGATGGTTGAAAAGAGAAATAGAGTTGTAGTTAGAGAAGAGTTTTTGTATGCACATGAGTTGTTTGATGAAATGCCTAAGAGAAGTATGAGAATGAGTTATGAACCTTAATTCTTGCAACATTGCATTTTGGCATTTCCTAAGTGCATTAATAAGTATGAACCATCCATATGCATTAATTGTGCATTAAGAAGTAGCTTGAGAAAGAGTAGAGAATTTCTACACTATGAATATTAGCTTGGGAAAGAATAGTGATCTTTGTGCTTAAACTAACATCACAAGTATCTTCTATTAGTTCCCACCAAATTCGGGCATCGCCATCGGATCTTCTCCCGATCCGTCATGGGAAATAAACATGTTGTACGCTCTACAGACCTAAACCATTCTTCTGCTATTACTGGGTCTGTAGTACCCTTAAACTCTGAGGGTTGATGTTGACTAGGGAGACCATAAATTGGTTCAACTCTATTCTGTATTGGGGGAGGTACTGGTTGTTCTCTTCTGACATTAGTAGTCAGTGGTACCTACACGGGGGTCTCAACTCTCCCTTGGCTTTCTGCCATAACTTGCTGTACAATTCCCCGAATTCTAGCTTCATCCAAGGGAGGAGGCTTAGATTCTGGTGGGTTAGAAGGTTCTCCCTCATTCATCACACCTTTACCACGATTTCGGGCGCCACGCCTCATCTACAAAACAACCACATTTGATCAATTTGAGAAACACTTACAGTAAGGAAAGAATTAACTCACACAGTCGGCTATCGGACGTCGTAGCAATGAGAATAGTACACTGTCAAATCCCAAAATCTCTGCTCTGATACCAAAAATGTAATAGCTGCTTTATACTACTATACTCATAAAAACACATATAATAAAATACTGGTACATTAATAAAAGTAGTTGGGCCCAAAAATTTTCTTTCATTTAATATACACATTCTTTACACAAAGTCAGTATCATTTGCAAAAGTTCTCAAAAATGTGGTGGACAGTGTAACTACTCCTCCTCGCCTGCCGACATCCATCCGACTGCATCCTCACCTGGAACCTGCAAAAGCATAGAAAAACAACGGGGTGAGCAAAATAATGCTCAGTAAGTAAATCAATACTTCGTGACTCTACTTATTTTCTCTTTTTATTCTTTCTATTTTTTGTCACGACCTCATCTTACCGGAGGCGCGGCTGGGGATCACAAAGCACCTACTCTCGTGACTTCTACTAAATTTCTGTACCGATCAGATTTGATTATACATGGATTCAGAACCCTTGGTCATGTTGGGTTTGAGTGGTGGGGGAGGCGAAAGAAATCCCTTAAGGGGAGGGGGGGGGGGGGAGAGAGATATTCCTAGTGAGTCACACAGAGTGGGCCTGAGTAGAGGGGCCGATCAGCAGTGCCCACAATGCAGATTGGGCTGTGACAATAAAAAGACTTTGATACCAAAAATGTAATAACTGCTTGATACTACTATACTCATACAAATACGTATAATAAAATACGAGTACATTAATAAAAATAGTTGCGCCCAAATTTTCTTTTATTTAATATACATATTCTTTTGCAAAAGTCAGTATCCTTTACAAAAGTTCTCAAGAGTGTGGTGGACAGTGTAACTACTCCTCCTCGCCCGCCAATGTCCATCCGACTGCGTCCTCACCTGGAACCTGCAAAAGCATAGAAAAACAACGGGGTGAGCAAAATAATGCTCAGTAAGTAAATCCTCTACTTGTCTATACACATCCGTAGTGACCCATCTTTCTTCTTCACAAACAAAATTGGAGCTCCCCAAGGAGAATGACTTGGTCGGATAAAGCTTTTATCCAAAAGCTCTTAGAGTTGTTTCTTTAATTCTTGAAGCTCGGTTGGGGCCATTCGATAAGGGGCTTTAGATATTGGTGTTGTTCCTGGTGCTAGTTCAATAGTAAACTCAACCTCCCTTTCTGGGGGTAAACCTGGTAACTCTTCCGGAAACACATCTAGAAACTCTCGAACTATTGGCACCCTCTGAACCTCTGACTGAGGAACATCACCACTCTGCACTACATGTGCAATATACCCTGAACACCCATTTCTTAACATCTTTCTAGCTTTTATGCTACTAATCAACATGCTCAACTGATGGCCCTCTCCAAAGCTAAACTTATCTCCATTATTAAGATTAAATCTCGCTTTCTTCTTCCGACAATCAATCTCTACTCCATTCCTCCCTAGGAAATCCATGCCCAATATTACATCAAAGTCGGGCATATCAAACACTATTAGATCTACTGCTAATTCTCGTCCATGGATCACTAACGACTCTCCTGATAACACCTCATGGGTCATAACACTAACCGTATCAGGTAACTCTATCTTAATGGGTTGATTCACTCTAATAGGTTTCAAACCTAATCTCTCTATCATCCCATAAGATATAAATGAATGAGTGGCTCCAGAATCAATTAAAGCATATAAAGGAATAACATGGAATAATAACTGACCAGTTATAGCTGGTGGACTGGCCTCTGCTTCACCTTGTGCCAATGTAAACACTCTGGCACTAGTACCTCTAGAACTTTGAGCTATTGATGGAAGAGGAGCTTTACAATCCTTCCTCAAGTACCTTGGCTGCTGGCACCGATAACACATGTTTTGGGCTCTCAAACACTCTCCTGAGGGGTTCTTCCCACATTTAGGACAAGGGGGAAACCCTTCTGTCCGAGGTCGTTTACTCCTCCAATCCCTTCTATTCTGTCTAAGTTGAAATTTCTTTTTATTACTCTTCATTTCTTTGCTCTTTCCACCCTCAACTTTTTCTCTCTGTGGGACAGAGGGTGGTTCACTCAATCTTTCATTGAGGGACCTACTGGGGTGATCTTGTTCTTAAATATCTCCGCCCTCATTGCTCGTCTCAAGGCCTCACTATAAGTTTGTGGGGGATTGGCACCCGCCATTATGTCCCAGGCTATCTCTGGTTTCAACCCATGTACAAATTTATCTCTCCTCAATACCGGAGTACTAACAATTCCTGGTGCAAATCTGGCAAGGGCATTGAATCTCACTGAATACTCTTTAACTGTATTGGACCCCTGCTGCAAACCAATAAACTCTTGGACCTTCTCATGAACTCAGTCCTCTGTTCTATACTCGGCCTCAAACTCTCGCCTGGATTCTTCCCAGATCATTACTGCAACATCACAAGTATCTTCTATTAATTCCCACCAAATTCGGGCATCACCCCGAAATAAGAAACTCGCATATCAGATCTTCTCCCGGTCCGTCATGGGGAATAAACCTGTTGTACGCTCTACGGACCTAAACCATTCTTCTGCTATTACTGGGTCCATAGTACCCTTAAACTCTGAGGGTTGATG